GCGGCGAGGCGCCCAACCCGAGCGCTCGCAGTGCCAAGCGGGCTCAGACACAGCGCATCCGCAAGGGCATGAGCGACGGTGCATGGCGGGACAAGCAGAAGGAAAATCCCCACAGATGGCAGATTGCCTGGGCCGCCAGGTATCCCTGGGCCCAGCCTGTGCATGCTGACGTGGACGCCGGAGAAGTGCACGATAAAGTGCGCTGCATCCCCTGCACGTTGATGAAGAAGAGCGACTACCGACCTCTTGGTCTATGAGGGGAGTTGTAACTTATCGGGGGGGGTCTGGGGGGGGCGTAGCCCCCCCCAGCGCCCCACTCTTAAGGAATACATAACGGCGACGCTAGCAACTTTGTTACTTAGGTTGGAATAAATTGAGACCCCCCCTAAATGAAAAAAAAATCACTGGAAGGAGGACGGGGTGAAGATCAAGTACATTAAAGAAAACCCGCCTAAAACCCTAAAACCCTAAAATACTCTCTCTCAAACATGCATGCATGTGACCCAAATCAGCGGGCAGGTAGACACTTAGTGGGATGAGTGGAATCCAGATGAAGCAAACAGGGATAAACCCCCAAAACCCCAAGCAAATCCTGTGGCTTAACGCAGTGCAAGACATAGGCCCCAGGTAGGTCACTCGAAGCTCGCTTCGAGGCGAGCGAGACAGAGAATATTGTTTTGTGGCAGTAGACCCCCCCGACCGAACATATTTGCCAGAGGTTAAGGCCTGACTTCTGCTCCTGGCCGACCAGGGTTCAAATCCGCCTGCCGGCTCCTCGTGTGTTTGAGGAGTGTTGAAATGAGAGGTGGCCCCCCATCATATGGACGATGTAGGACGTGATAAATCAACTTGCGAGCTGACCAGGAACTAAGTTGATGCGCCGTTGATCCGCTATATTTGGTTGGATGCTGGTGGTGAGTTGCCGAACCCAACGAATACATTCTGAAGTCGGATGGGGTGACGGATTAGAGTGCCCCTCTAGCAGGGGAGAGCAGGGACTGCCCGGGAAAGGGGCCGCTGGCGAAGTTAACCACCCTGTAACAACATACATATTTGCCACCCCGGAATCCCCAGGACACAGAGCCAAGGGTACGTGTGTATAGAAACACAACCAGAAAGCTGAGCGGACATCTGGGCGGCACCAGCAACTTATACAAGGTCGCGTTCGTCATTCCTTCACACCTGCCAACTGCCAGCCATGGGGCTTTCTGGGTATGGGAGACATCTCTGTTTCCACACATGCTCACGTAATGGGGTCCTGGCGTTGGAATCTCACCTCCGCCACCCCCCTGGCAGCGTGTGCACATTACTGTGCTGACAAAGGGAGCTATGGGCGGCTGGCGGCTCAGCGCCAGCACACGCACCTGTCGCCACTAACGTGACCTCTTGTCCGCCGCATGCTCCGAAACCTGTACGACATATGGCACAGCCGCAGCACACGGATATTTGCATACACATAAGCAGACACACACACGGATTGTTCTTGAGGGCACAAGGCTGACCCCTGACCCGGAGCCATGTGGTGATTTTGTTCCTTCTAACCTCCATACATATACACACGCACATGCACTCACTCACATACATAGACATGGATCTCCCTGCCTCCTTTCCCCCCTCACCCGGCGCATGGGCCCTCTTCGCATCCATGCTGCCAAGAGGACCGGACGCTTTCAGGGAGGTCCGTCTCGAGTTCCGATGCAGCGGACTCGACACTGCCCCTGTCGTACTGCCACCGCCACCGCCGCCAACCTTGTTCCCAAGCGCTGCCATGCGACGGCGCGTTGCATGCTCTCCGCCGCCGCCGCCGCCGCCCGCCGAACCTCGTGTCTCTGGTGCCTCGTCTGCATCCGATATATCGACAGAAAGCCGCCCAGAGGAAGAAACCGCGCGGGCCGCCGCCGCCGCCGCCGCCGCCGCCATCCAGCCTCGTGAACCCCGCGTGTCGCCACCGCCGCCGCCACCATCGGCGACGCCGGCTGCCATGCCGTACACTGATAACAGCCGCAGTACTCTCCCCGAACGAAGCAGTGGTACGGCGAAGCACAGAGTGCAGGCGGCCGCGGCGGCGGCGGTGACGACGCCAACGGCGGCGAGCGCGCCGCCAAAGACCGCTGGCCTGATGCCCCCCTTGAGCGCAGCAGGAACCCGGGGCCGTCGGGCAATAATAGGTCCTCACCACATACATACCGACATACAAACATGTGGAAGTTGCTGTATCGGTGGCCTTTCTCCACTTACTTATTGCAACACAGATCCAACAAATAACTACTGGGGGGCTGAGACTGCCGGAGAGATCAAGACATGAGATTCCCTTCCTGATGTTATCGCTGTGTTCGACTGGATGTGAGGTTACAAGCACCTTAAAAATTGCAAATAACATGGCGCACCAGACGCGGTTCTGAGCCGCGCGCGTGTGTGTGTATTAAGTATGTATGTATATTGGGCGGGGGAGAAGTGCTTCGGGAATTGAAGTCAAGAAATGGAATCGGCTCTTACCCCGCCCTTATCGTCTGACGGCACCTCATCCTCCGATGTGCCGTTCGCTCGGCATGTCGCCCGAAGCACCTTCCCGCTGGTGCTGCCAACGGCACCGCCAGCGCCGCTGACGTCAGCCCATCTCAGTGTCGGCGGCACCGAAGCCGCCGCCAAGTCCCCCGGTAAACCCACGCAAACACACGACTGGTAGAGCCAAAATCCAGGGGACGATAGAAAAAGTGTGGCCGAGGAAACGGCGGCAGCGGAACCTACGGCCGCTGCCGCCGCCGCCGCCGTTGGCTGCTGCGACGGCGGCGGCGGCTGCGGCTGCTGGGAAAGGAGGGCATCGAGCCACGACGGCGCCGCCATCGCCACAGCCGCCACCGTGGCGGCGGCTGCAGAGGTGGTGGAATGGTTGCGGTAGGCGTAGCGCGCACAGGCGTAGGTGGCTCCAGGTGGCAGGATGTCTGTATGTATGTATGTGTTTGATGTGTGTACAGGGGTTGTGTTCACAAAGGAGATGTTAGCGGCCTGCTATCACCGTTTAGGGAAGAACAGCAACAACAACAACACCGGGGAAATCTCACCCACCTACCTTCACATACGTACATATATATGTACATATAGACATCGGCATAAAAAACCATATATTTTATGTAGATATATGTATATGTTCATATACATACATATATATACATACATATATAAACGTATGTATATATGTGTATATACATATATGTACATACATTGAGAGAGACGCATACAGACATATGGACATTCGTACACCCGTGGGCGTTAAATTTCAGAAGAAACCCCTTCCATCCTTTCCTCCAGAAGAGCAGCCCACCTTCAGCCCCCCTGTCCCGCCGGCCACCTCGATTACTATACATAATTATTATGAGGTACAGGGTAACACCCGATTCTGGCGAATTCTTTGTATCTGTATGTCTATTTGTATGTCTATCTGTGTGTGTGTGTGTTTCGTGTGCATATCCACGTACGCGTCTTCATGCCCCCCCTGATTTTGAACCTGGACATGCCCTCGGCAACATTTACCCTCACCTCACCCCCACCTCCTCAACTCAGGTGGCCCCTACCACCCGCCCGCCCACCCCGATGTGCCGTACCGGTTCCACCAGACTCAACCGCCCCCAACGCCGCAAAGGCATATCCAGAAGGCAGCCCGCAGGCGGCATCCGCGGCGCTGCTACTGCCGCCAAGTACAGGTCTCGCGACGGCGATGTCGCAGGTTAGAGACGTGTTACGCGTGTCAACCTGCGAGTACATAAGTAGGTGGTTGGTTGGTTAGTTGGTTTGATTGGGGGTTAGGCTGTTGGACGCGCGGTGCAGAGCAGTGGAACAGAAACAGCGAGCGGCCCCCGGGGCAGCTCGACCTCATGCTGCTGTCCTCCGTTTTTTCCACAACCCCCCAACATACCAAGATAAGGTTGTCGGCCTCCAGTACGGCACGTGGCAAAGCGCCGTATAGACCTGCAATTGGCCATCAGGCGCGGCAGCAGCACAACCAAACTGAATCTCTGTGTGTGTATGTGTGTGTATGTATGTGTGTGTATGTATGTGTGTGTATGTGTGTGTATGTGTGTGTATGTGTGTGTATGTGTGTGTATGTGTGTGTATGTGTGTGTATGTGTGTGTATGTGTGTGTATGTGTGTGTATGTGTGTGTATGTGTGTGTATGTGTGTGTGTATGTGTGTGTGTATGTGTGTGTGTGTGCAGCAGGAGAGATGGTTCGTTCGCTCGTTCCTTCGTTATCTTCCTCACACATCCCACAGCATGTACTGCCCCCAACTGCTAACCAACTGTCTCACCAGGGTTGTCCGCTAGCAGTACGACCTGCAGTTGCAACCGCTCCAGGGCGGCCTTGGGCAGCTCGCCCACCAGGTTGAACCCCCCCAGAGCTATCCCCATGATGTCACCCTCTCTCTGGCAGGGAAGTACGAGCTGTGCGTGGGGGGAATGGGCGGGAAACGGGGGAGAGGGAGAGGTTCAAGAGTGTGTATGTGCATGTGTATGTGTGTAGCTGGAGGGATGGGATGGGTGGGTTGGGCGGCTTGGATGAGACAGTTTGCAGACGTATCAGTAGCAGCAGCATGATCCAGGGGAAAATCAAGAGCAGCATTAGCATTTGCATTAGCAGCGGTGTAGAGCATTATCACCATTTCTAATGGTGGTAGTTGTGGTGGTTGTCATGGTCGTTGTCGTGATGGTTATGTTGGTTGTGTTGGAGGTTCCAACGTCGGCTGTCATAGAGATTCCGGAGGCTTCTGAATCAGAGATTTTCGTACCGTCGTATGTATCACACATTCTTCGGGATGGGAGGGTCCCACCGGGGGCCCGGGGTGGGGAAATCGGGACGTAAGGTTGGGAATGTTTGCGAGACGATAAGTCGGACATCTGCCGCCACGTTCTGCACACACCATTGCTAAGGCGTAGAAATCTGGATAGTTCGGTTAGTCCAAATTATTTTTCTTTTCTCGAGGGATAGGAAAATATAGTTTTTTCCTAGAGTGTTTTTATAATATCCATGTATTTCCGAGAGCCTTCGGCTGCCCCTTGCGCCCCCGGCTCGTATGGGCCCGTTGCACCCTTTGGAGGGTAACGCGTCCTCCAGGAGTTGTTAGTTAACACACGCAAAGAACGGAGCATGAGCTCCCAGGAACAAGAAACATGGCGGCCACACAAAATCCGCAGACCCCCTAAGGCCTCTCATATTGCGATAGAGGGATAGCTAGCTATTTCTCCCTCTAGAATTCCGCACAATTCCATAGCCTCGTCTTTACAACAGCTCTGGACATCCCACCTGGGCATCGGAGGGTACGGCATCCCGGTACGGCGAGGTCATGTACGACAGGCTGTACGACGCGGATGAGTTGTACTTGCAGCAGCTGACCCCTGTGACGGCCGTGTGTGGGTTTCCGAAAGGGCCCCAGTGCATCCGCAGGGTGCAATACTGGTCAACGCGCGGTCAAAGGCCGGGGGAATGTACGACGTGAAAGAGGTGGTGATGACGTCTACTTGTTAGTGCGGCTGCAGCTTCTGCAACTGCGGCTGCTACTGCTGTGGCTCCTGCTACTGCCGCGGCTTGCGAAACTGCGGCTGCTACATTTGCGGCTTCTGTGACTGCTGTTGCTGCTTCTGCAACTGCAGGAGCTATAGCTGCGTCTGCTGTGGATGCTGCAGCAGCGGTAAGTTTTGCTGTTCAAAATGTGGAGAGGGGTTTTGACTGTCCTGTGACGGAGCTGGCTACAGGATGGGGCGTGTTTCTTCTCTGCTTCTGGAAGGGGTTGGTAGAGTCGCGGCTATGGGCCGAGGGGGCTGATGATGGGCCCTGTCAGGTTAGCGATTTAAGTGTGGTGTAGACGAACATGATGATCAGCACATCGCATGGATATACAGCTCACCATGCTGAAAAGTATAAGCTTAATTTTCTAAAATGTTTAGCTTTTGCGTCAAGTTATGGTTTCGTGCTGACCTGACCAGTCGCATGGGTTCGCCGATGCGCCCCATTGGTTCGCGGCATTCCAGGTTGGTCCGCCGGTTTGAGACCAGAGCTGCATCAAGTAGAGCCTGCAATTAAATTTGGTGTATGCCGCTGTGAGCCGTAAAGCCGTAAATCTTGGACGTCTGTACTTGGTCAGCAATGTGGCTGGTTACTGCGCAGTTAAGGCTTTTCAGTGCCGCACCTTGCATAGATGTCTGAGGCGTTCAAGGCATAACAGTATCTTTTAAGCAGCCACAATATGCAGAAGACGATGCCACTGGGAGACCTCATCCCCTTCCGTGTTAAAGTATGCCTTATAATTACCTAACACTGTGCAGTAGATATCAGGAAGATTTCACTTTGCGTGTACGTCATGATAATGAGAAACAACTCGCAAGCTGTCAACTACTGCAAATAAGGCATTTCCACGGAAACGTTACATATTGTAAGAAAGGAGGATTAACGCCATTTTGGCAGAAAGTAATGAAGAACAACGAGCAGCCACAAGCGCATATCCCTTATGGACATCCAGATAACTGTGATAAGCTATGATTCTGGCTGCGAGGTGCCATACGTCCCTTCTGTACGATCGCCGCATCTCCCTGGAAGGTTTTATGCCCTACAATTGCTTCCAGAAGGTTTCAGTCTTTAACTTGTAATTTCGTTCCTGCCTTTCGAACGCGACTGGGGGAAAGCCAATCCACGTCAACTTAGCAAGCAAATGACATGGATGGGACTAAGGGATTGGGTCCAACAGAGAACTTATCATAGCTGCATCTGGGCACAGCTCCAAGTGGGATGGACTCCGTCCAATAATACCGCCTTTCTCTTTGCAATTCAGATGGGATTTCGGTGCGAGGTCATCGGTACAAATACTGTTCCTAAAAGAACATTGATAGTAGATACATTTACCAGAGCCCAAACAACTGGCAAAGTTGCGCTTTACATGTGCAACCGTTTGTAACGTCTTCTTACCAAATGTACTGCCTATCTTGTCCGGCGCCTGCGGTTTCCTCATCTTAAATTCACCAAAAAATCTCTATGTTTTTTGAACACGTGAGTTAGAGATGGGAGGCCTCTGGCAGAGCTGGCGGGGTCAAACGCGTGTTGCGGCCTTAAGTCCCCAGAACAAGCGAACGGCACAGGATAACGTACAAGGTGTCGATCTGCGTAAATAAAAGCAATATAATTTTATTTCAATATAGCATAAACAAATTATTTGAACTGCTCCCATGTATAGACCTATGCCTGCATCCCCTGCAACAGATTTTCTTAGGGCCGGGGACCTGCCGGCGCGGCTTTCCGCCGTAAACGGGGACCTTGCGAACTCCCCGTAAGAATGTCTAAAGTTTGGGAATATAAAACTGCTGCATATTTTTAATCAGGGGAGCTCTACATAATACCACCATTAGGCCGCATACCTCCAGTACAAAGGAGTCATGCACCGCGGACTCGTAGCGCACCTATAAGCAGAGGCAAACGCCACCAATGCTTTCTACACGCTTTACATAGCTCCATGTGAACTCCCACTTCTTTGATGTAGCCTTTATTGCAAATGAAGTACATAGACAATCCCTTCGCGACGTTTTTCAAGAGCAAAGAGGTCACAGCGACACCGACTAGGAAGAGAGAACGCAAAGCTTTTAGCCTGCAGAAAGCGGGCTAAAACCTGCAAAAAAATATCTGCAAGGCCTTGAAGAAGATATCCCAGAAGCCTTAGAAGGATGGCCGGCTGGGACCCTCAACTCATGGCCATGTTGTGGTGATGCAAAGTCCTCGCGAGCTGGAAAATGCCACCTATCGCTGCGGCAGCAGGTGGCAGCGATGACGACATCCCAGGATTGGCCATCGGCCAATGGCGCCATCGGCCAATGGCGCCATCGGCCAATGGCGCGCGCTTGGCTATAACTTTATTTAGGTTTAAGAAGTATGTGGTCAAGTTTTGGGGTCGAGGGGATGACTTTGGGCTGTAAGGTATTTGGCTTCCCTGCTGTGCCGGTATGGCCTGTAACAGACTCAAGGCTGAATCCATGGGCTCGGGCGAAGTTGGACTTTCGACGCGCACGCTTGGCTGTTTAACATCAATAGCCAATGGACAGTGCCAAGTTCAGGGCCTCACACTAATGTCAGTCCTGTCCACACCCCGGGTGTACCACACTTATTGTGTGTGTGTGTCTGTGTCTGTGTGTCTGTCTGTGTGTGTATCTGTGTGTCTGTGTGTGTGTGTGTGTGTGTGTACATGGTTGGGAGTCCGTGACCCCATACCTGTAAAACTACCCATACGAGCCGAAGGCCCAAGGGCAATTTCTATACGCCTAAAAGCCACGGAGGACGCTTATTTAGGAGAGACCTGATTCCGACGGCCCCTAAGAAAATCTGTTGCAGAGGATGCCTGCATAGCTTGCGTGCCTCTCCGGCTGTAGACGATCAGACGGGCCGCTGACAGCGTAGAGCGAACATGGGCAGACGAACATTACGTTGCGGTCGCGTTTGACACGGCGGCAGGAGAAGTACGGCGCGAGGGCGATGATCCGATGCACAGCTCCGGTTATCCCAACCCTAATACTTAGGGTTGCTGTACCCTGTCGCGTCATACGACTGTAGCATCGAACAAAACACGTGCGTACGACAGACGGTAAAATGAACGTGACGCTAAAATGTCATGGCAACCCCTAGGGCGTTACAAATAAGTAGAGCTAATTACTTCTCCTTTGATTTCTATGTGTAATTCAGACATCGGCAAACGCTTCGGGTCGTACAGAAAGGCCCGAAAACAGGAATACAGTTCCCGAAGCCTGCCGGCTTGCAGAAATAGGTGGGTCGCCTTTCAACATTTTGCTGCTAAACGGCGTGTCGTCAGGCTGGACGATGAGGTGGTGATGAAGCTGATCGAGGAGCTGGGGGTGCAGCCCAAGTCGGGCCCGCCCCCCCCTCCCCCCTTTGACGGGAACTTGTAACTTGTAATCCATTTGACGCGGTCGTACGTTCGAGTCATGAGCTCCGCAGCTATTAGTACAATATACGATATGGATGCGGTACATATGCCGTACGCTTCGTACTTGAAACCTCCAGTTGCGGGGGTTACAATCTTTTTTCTCACCCAGTTTTCCCAGTTTTCCTGGTAAATTGGCAAAGTTGGAGACAGGACAACAAAAAAGCTATTGTACACAACGCCAAACAGGTGACCGGGCCTCCTGGAATAACTCCCTTCGCAAGTGTTGGCCACCTGGCCGACTCGACACGCATACATATCCATGGGCTTGTAATTACTGTGACGTCGAATATACATATATATACTCCCACAGGGCTGCGCTGTACCTCCTATCCGCCGTACAAGGGGGGAAAAGCTGCTCGCGGGAGGGGGGAGCGGGGGGGGAAGGGAGCTCCGCCATGTGAAACACACAGAGGCCCATTCCCCCCCCCCTCCCGCCCCGCCGGGGCTTCATGCGGTGATGGGTATACGTGGACGGGGGAGAGAGAGAAACAAAGAAAGGGGGGGAGAGAGGGCGCGCGGCAACGGAGTAACCAGTTACCTCCGCCACACCCCACGCACGCCGCCGGTGGGACCGCGTCGGCTAACCCATCTCCCCTTCTCCCCAGTGTTACGGTAAATCCCATCAGCTTGGGGAGGAGGGGTTGGAGTTCGTCGTACAATACACGCAAGTACGCGATCGCGGCGCGGCACGCACAGCAGTACAGCAAGTAGGAGACACACGCACAAACACACACATGCATACAGTGACATACAGACGCACATGGCCCAGTTTCACTCCCCATGCCCCCTGTAACACAATCAATGTCATCCCCACCTGCCCCCTTCTCCACCTCACCTCCCCCCACCTCCCCCCCACCACACACACAAAACACGTCACCCAGCTATCCCCCTCACCCAACCGGTAGGGTGTTGGGTGGGCGCGGAAGGCCTAACGAGACAGTGCAGAGCTAGCTGTGCTGTGCTGTGCTATGGTGTGGTATGCTGTGGTATGCTGTGGGGACACTCCCTTAGAAGAAGTCCGACTGGGCAAACAGGATGTGCTCGTACGCCACCCCCTTGGCACTGAGCTGCTTGGCCAGTGTGGAGGCCATGTCCCCAGGCAGCCCCGCCAGGAGGAAGGAGCAGCGGGAGGAGGAGCCGCCACATACACCTGCCGTACGGGTACGGAGGTGCGGAGCGTGTTTGGGGGGGGGGGAAACGGGGGGGGGAGGAGAAATCCGGGGACGGGGAATCAGGGCGGGGAAAAAACACCGAAGACGTGTCGACGAAAACACACCAGACGTACAGCACGGGAACCATAGAAAAGGCAGGCGTTTCGACACGGCGACCAAACGAGAGAGCATCTAGCCCGAGAAAAATGAGATGCAGAGTCCCATCGTACATCCGTACAACCGTACTTGCCTTCAAAACCGCCCTCCTGAGCGAATAAAGCCAACTGCAGGAGGTCCATACACCGCCCGTGATCTAAATCGCCGGAAGTGCCGTACACCGTCACACCACCACTGCTACTGCCGCTGCTGCTGACGTCGCCACCCTGTCCGCCAGGCGCCCCGTTACCGCCCGCACCGCCGCCACCTCCCCCATTGACAATCGCATCGTCGTCCACGTCAGCTGCTGGGTGTGTGTATAGGGGCCGCAACCGCATCTGTGTACGGACAGTGTACGGCACACGGATATGCCGTTGGAGGTTTGTCGATAGGTCGTTAGGTGGCGGCAAGGGGGCAGAAGAGGGCCCAGACGGGTGCGCGTGTGGGCGTGCGTGTGTGTGTGGGGAGGGGTAAATACACAAATCCGCATCCCATGTCACTCACAACGAGCTAAACCCTAAGACCGACCCTAAAACCCTAAAAACAACCTTAAGAATACCTAAAACGCCCACCTCCCCCTCCCCACATCCCCGCGTCTGGCGTTTCGTGTCTCTTCTTCTCTGCTCCTCCCCCTCCCCCCCACCCCCCAACCCCCCCCACACACGTCCCGGGGGCACCACCACAGTTAACGATGTTTTTTGCACGTATGTATGTCAGCATCGTTTCCTTAGGGTTTTGCACCATCGTAATCCCCCTTTTCCCCCCCTTTTCCCCCTCACCCCCGCTTCCCGCCAGCTATCCCACTCCGGTACGAACGCCGCCCGCCCTGGCGAGTGCGCCAAGTAGAGAGCCGTGAGGGAGTGGGAGGACGCGTGCGCCAGCACCGGCTGCCAGTTGAGAGCGGACCGGATGGCCGCCATACCCCGTGTGCCCATGGCGATGAGCACAAGGTTGCGACCCTCCTGGTGGGGGATTGGGGGGGATCGGGGTTTTTGGCTGTGTTTCGTGTTTCGTGTGTGTGTGTGTGGTGGTGGTGCGGGGAGGAGTCATCATATTCAAGAAGCTCGAAGCGGGGGGGGGGGTGAGAGGGAGGGACGAGGGGACAAAGATGAAAGGAGGGTAAAGGCGGCGGGGGAGATGGGGGGTTGGCAAATGGGGAGGAGGAGGAGGAGGAGGAGGTCGTCCACGCTTGGAGGTTCCAACACCCCACACCTGCATGTCGTACCACCGTCCGTCCTCCCCACCACCACACTACGCATATACATGAGTGTATATTTAATGTATGTATACATATACATATATATACATCACACATACTCACATATCTACATGTACATACATACACATATAGACGCCCTGCACTGGCCGTTGGGCCCCTCAGGTAGGGCTCCAGTTGTGAATGGGCCCCTCCAGAGTTACACCTTTGGGGGGTAACGCAACCCAAGGTGTTATACACACACATATATGTAAACACACACACAAAGAAGACACCCCCATGGACCGCCAACCCCCCAACCCCCAACCGCCAACCCCCCAACCCCCAACCGCCAACCCCCGGTACGTCGCTTCGCTACCTCCAGTGCGTGTGTGAGTCCGTTATAGCTGTCCAGGAGGGGCGAGAAGCCGCGACCAATGACCTGGGTTACCTGGGGGGTTAGGGGGGAGACGGGGGGAAAGCGGGGAGAGGAGGGGAGAGGAGGGGAGCACGGCGCGCGCGTGTGTGTGTGTATGCGTGCGCAGAGGTGCGGGCTGCGGAAACGCGTGCAGCTGAGTCAGGAGGGGGGAAGCAGGATGGGGGGTTTCTTGCCCGTGAGACGGGGCGGAGTTGAAACGAGGGGGTGCGGGGGAAATGTGTGTGTGTGTGTGTGTGTGTGTGTGTGTGTGTGCAAGAACTACAACCAACTGCCAACGCCGGGGTAAGGGGGAAAGGGGGGGTGCGGTCTGCCGGGTAATGTGTATTTGCTGCGGGTCCCCCGGGCTTGCCCCTAGCCCTTTACCCCATACATACATAATACATACATACATACATACATACATACGCACCGATTTTCCCCTCCTCCATACACACGCACACACGCACCCGGTCCGTCAACCAGTTAGTCACCCCCCCGTTAGTAACCGATTTTCCCCCCCTCCATCTCCCCCCCATCCCTCACCTCCACCTGGGCCCCGGGCCCCAAATCCGCCAGCGCCACCTCCTCCGAACCCCAGCTGCGCTCTACCACCACCTGGAAGCAGGGTGACAGACGGACAGACAGATGAACAGATAAAACAAAATTCAGCAAACACACAACACCGGAAAACAGTATGTAGATAAATAGATAGATAGATAAATAGATGGTCGTGGGTCCTAAACATTTAGTGGAGTAACACATTAACAAGATGATGACAGAAAGGACCTTCAGCCCCAAAGACAGAGTAGCAGGACGTGTCGTTATGTAAGTCTGTTCACCACACACCCCTAAAACTAAA